TTCATCAGTCCATTTTGTCTCATTCAGATCCTAATAGCCTTTAGACATTAGGACAAGACTTCCATATCATGACCTGGGGTAGCCCGGGGTAGCAATGGAAAAGTTATCAGCATGTTGAGAACACTACATCCTGAACTGACTGATCACTTGTCTCAATGGCTGCACATAGATCAGGGGTGTCAAACTGCATTTCTTTGAGGGCTGGATCAGCATTGTAGTTCTCCTCACGGGTTGACCAGCGGGGGGGTGGAGACAGGACGGACACCTCCTGCAGCACTCTGCTGGCCAGTGGTGCTTCTGCTAGTGAAAATGGGTGTGGGCGTGTGTGTGTGTGTTCCTAGACGGGTCTCCTGCAGCACTCTGCTGGCCAAAATGGGGGGGGGGGGTGTTTTGGCTGGCAAAGAGCTGCAGGAGGCTGTCCAGGCTGTAAACAGGACATGCGAGGGGGGGGGGGCTGCGTATAGCTCCTCACACCCCATTTTGGCTGCCAGAAGTACCTTGGGCCAGTCCTTTCTTTTTTCCAGGCTGGCCCCACAGGCCAGATTTAAGCACCCGCAGGCTTGAGTTTGACACTCCTGATATAGATGATCAACAAACAGAAAGATAATGAAGCCCTGTAGCACCTCATCACCAAATGTTCACTGGGCTGATCTCATCTATAACTACTAACTGAAACCACCTGCTAAAAAGGACTACTACTGTAGAACAATGGCTCCAATCTCCAACCATGGCAAACTGAGAAAGGGGCAACTCCCTTATCAAATCACTTCAGAGGTAACCCACCGGCACAATCAATGCCATCTTCATTGCATGCCTAGGCCTGAATTCTGACTGCTTGAGGAGTCTTTGGTGCTCTCTCAGCTTCTTGTTTTCTTAGAGATATTTCATAACCCAAACTAGGTAACATCATTGGTGCTAGTGGACTAGAACTAATGTTATCTAGTTTGGGTAATGAAACATCTGCAAGAAAACAAGACAACTCAGAAAGCACCAAGGACCTGTCATGTCAACCCTAAGCCTCAAATATTCTCCTTTATTAATGACTGAATTCAGTATCCAGACAATCCACCTTTTCTAGGGTATTTTCTAATGTCTCTCCACTCTCAAGTAAACCACCTCCACATCCCCACCTAACAAGTTTATAATCCTGGGATTTCTTAGTAATATTCTGTTTAAGTATTAACACTATTTAAAATATTTTTTCTAATTCAAATTTCTTTTAGGTCACACATTGTATTTTTAAAAACCTCTTACCAATAATCTGTTTCCAGATGCAATTATTAGTTGTGTTCCATCCGGTTTAAAGGCAAGGTCGTAGATACTGCAAAAACAAAGAATGCTATTAAAAGGCAAGTTCTCTTATCTACTTATTTGTTATTTTCATCAGATAGGTCATCTACAAAACAGATGCATAATGTATCAATGTTGCATAGTTAGTTTTAATTTAGGATACTGTGTGGACCCAACAATTGTCATGGCCAAATTATTATTATTTTTTTAATTTGTATTTTTATTAACAGACAACACATACACACAACAATAAAAAAACAGAAAAAAGACAAAAAAAGCATCATCACATACAGCATGTCGGTGGGTTACAGCTGTTTTAACATCCATATTCTCGAATAACATTTACCATCACAGATTTTTCATCTAGGATAACTAAATACCTCACTTTCATTGTACAGTATATGTTCAATTACAATTAGTATTATTTTTTCCAATAAATCATAATTCCCTTACATTCTTGATTGTCTATTTGATAACAGTATACCTTTATATAATCCCAATGTGAAAGAAAAGAAAAAAAAAATTACCAACCATTTATATTTGTATATCACTATTTTCAATTATGCATAATTCCACTAATCAATTATTAGATATGCTTATGTTCATTATTATCCTTGTACATCATACATTCAAAAAGATCTTATTCATTCATTTTTCAACAAAATATTCTAAATAGTCGCTATATATATATATACACACCAATTTTAAATTGTTCCCTTATTAAAATTATTTATCAACAACAAAATATCATTCTCATGGCCAAATTATTATACATACTTTAGTGTTATACAACTAACTTATTCTTTATTAATTCTGTTTTAAGAAAATTGTGGATTAGTATACAGGAAGTCCTCATCTTACGACCACAATTGAGCCCAAAATTTGTTAAGTGAGACATTTGTTAATTTAGTTTTGCCCTATTTTATGACCTTTCTTGTTGTTAAGTGAATCACTGTAGTTGATAAGTTAGTAATCTGGTTAAATGAATCTGGCTTCCCCATTGACTTTACTCATCAGAAGGTCACAAAAGTTATCACCCAACCTTGGGACAGAGAAACGGTCAAAAGTATGAACCAGTGGACAAGCATCTGAGTTTTTACCCCATGATCCATGGGGATGCTTCAAAGGTCGTAACTCTGAAAAGCGGTCATAAGTCATTTTTTTCAGCGCTGTTGTGACTTTGAACGGTCACTAAATGAACTGTTGTAACCCAAGGACAGCCCATACTTTTTCATTTATTTAGGTATTTCTTCCATTTTTACCCCACAAAAACCTTGCAACTCCCAGCCATTTATGTAAATATTTGGGATTACATAAGAGAAAAGCGGGAGAGGCATACCTTATTATTTAAACTACTTTATATAAAGAGGGAGCAAGTCCAACATTCACACGCACTGATGAAGTTACCTAGTTGGGTCATGAAACATCCACAAGCTCAGATAGCACGAAGGACTCCACAGTTCAACCCCAATATTCTCTTATTTCATTAATTTATATGTTATGTAAATTTAATAAATGCATTTATATTGGAGTTATTTAAAATAATCCATAGCAGAATGGAAAGATTAAAAGAGCACACAGTAGTAGCGACTCTTCCTTCTCAAGAGTCCTCCTCCTCCTGCTGCTCTTCCCCGTTATCCTCCCCAGCCCCGTTTCGGAGAGAGGACCGCCTCTTACCACTGCTCGACCTTATCCCTCCAAGTCAACGCAGCTCGCATGTCGTCCCCTTCAGGTGCATCGCCCTCGCCGGCGCCCAACTCTCTCACTCTTTTGGGGTGGCTTTTTTGTGTTTGTTTGTTTGTATTTATTGACGCAGGACGCCAGCCGGCCTCCCAAGGCAACACGCATGCGCACTCCTCTTTAAACGCCCGCGGTCCAAAAAATGCCCCGTGCGCAAGCGCCATCAGCCCCTGGCAGCGTCGTCCGCGCATGTCTTTTAGCCTTTACTGTTTCCAATAGCCCGCCGAAGAGAGGGGAAAATTAGTGCCGCGAAAAGAGGCGGAGACGATATCAAAAGTGCGCTTGCGTCACCGGGGGGGGGGGCTGATCCATCGAAGCTGTGTTGTGTGGGGGTGTTTTTTTTCCTCCCTATCTATCCCCTTCTTAGGAAAAGATCGTTAGACTCTTCTATTCATCGGGACCTGGTTATTAGAGTTTAAAGTGTGCATGCGTTCGATGAAGACTAGTAAGGATTGGCGTCTTGTGCGGGAAGTCAGTCGTGGTGTTAAGATAGGAAGAGAAGGAGCTCTATGAGACCAGGTAAGGATTTTTTTTCCACTAAAGGAAACCAAGGAGAGAGGGATTTTTTTTTTATTATAGCTATTAGATTGTGCCAATCGGCTTATTCTATTGGTTTGGTCTCAGTGATGTCATAATAGAAGTGGAACTCGTTTATTTGACAATGATGCGTGCTACGTTCCCCAGTGTACCATGCACGGTAGGATGGTGGTCTCCGTTTTCTCAGGTCGTTTTGGGATTAAAAATTCTTATTTAATAGATCACTTGTTGGTCTGCGGTGCTCAGCCTTGCATTGATAACAGGAAGCACCTAGAAAAGACAGCCTGTTTGTTCTGCAAAGTATCTCCCTCGATTTCCCGAAGGGCGAGAAGAAAACTGAAACTGCAGCATGGGAAAAGTGCTCTGGTATGGCAGCAAGTGTAAAATTAGCAATTATTTTTGTACAAGACCCATATAACAAAATATTGTTTTCTGCCAGCAGAATTGAGCTGCATTTCTATATTTGTATTTGAAGATGCAATTTTCTAGAATATAGAAGAAGCAAAGTTGCTTGCTTTATGAAAGTAGAAATTGCATTACTAGCAATTTCTAGTTTAATTAGATGGATCCGACCAAAACTCATAATCAATCAGCACTAAGCAGAAAGTCAGTAAGACAGTTAGTTAAAATGTTGTACAGGAGTAGAGAATACAAATTCAAGTGTCAGCTTGGCCATGAAGCTCATGGTGCAACTTTAAGCTACTAATTTGCTCTCAGTCCAACCTTAGCAGGATTGTTAAAATGATAGGAAAGACCTTATAACAAGACCTTGATTTTCTTAGAACAATGTTTCTCCACCCTGACAACTGCCGTATCTGAATTTCAAGTCGTAGAATTTTCAGCAAAGGACACATTGGCAGAGGAATTTTAGGAGCTGAAGTCTATCCAACATTGAGCCATCCAGGATGAGAAAAACTGTCACAGAATGAGTTCATGAAACTAAATCAGAATCTCTTATTAGAAATCGGATTGATTTTTTTATGACTTCCATACCCAAACCAAAACACTGACAAATTTGGAACTAAAGATATGTATAAGTAACAATGCAAAAGCTTACCTTATATCAGTGAGTGCTTTCACTTGGAATGGGGGGGGGGAAGTAAGGTAAAGGAGGATGGTTGAAAGAAATGCAGAAAAAAACATTTTAAATTATGAAAAGGTTAAAAAAAGATCCCATACAAAAGAGTGGCTTACAAAATATTGGTCCTGTTGTATTTATTGACAGTGCTGAAAGTGAAACACACATGACCAAAGTTACAAGCAAAGAGAAACAATTACTTCTAAAGGTAGTAGAAGAAAGCTTTGGCCCCAGGAAAGAAGAGCCTGAAAGTCCAGTGAAGGGTAATGGGAAGTAAGGAGCAGTATCTTTAGAATTTCCAGTCGTATCATCAGACACTTCCAAAAGAATGGGAGAATACAATAAAGCAAAGATAAACTGGTGGAATTGCAGGAAAATATATTGTTTGCTCTGTTAGGTAATCTCAGTTGCCACTCTTGAATTTCCACTTCTGATACAACCTGTTGCAGTGTAGGGAAAGCATTCAATGATACGACACTTTACTTTTTGACAAAAACTACCATGTACTTTATATGTAAAAAAATTTAATGCTTAAAGCGTTTGTGTTTCAGGAATATTAAGATGTTCCACTCTGCTCATAATATACTCACAAATATAATACTCTCAAATACACCATCTCCTGTGATTGCTTACAAAATATGTTTAATACTTCTGTACCATACTGTGTTCATCTGATGAAGTTCAGTCTATTTCATAAATTGTGTGTATCATCATCATTAGAGTTGAAAGGACCTTGAAGATCTTCTAGTCCAACCACTGCTCAAGCAAGAGACCCTTATACTATGTAGTATTATTATAAATAATTATAATTATAAAATGTATAATTATACATTGCACAATTTATCTTTTAATTGTGGTTCCCAAGGCAATTCTCTGGCATCTCTACTATTTGTGTTTATAAATTGTTCTAGTATTACTGTTTCGATTTTTCTTTCCAAAATGGTAGTTTGTTGTTTATATTATTTTTCCATGACTATGATTATTAATAATTTATTCAATTTGTATGCCTCCTGACTCACCACCTCTCACAACAATCAAAGAAATTGCAATAAAATCAATACAACAAAAGATAAAAGATGGCAAATGTTTAGATTGCTTAGATAGTTTTTGTTTACAAATATATTTTCTCCCCCCCCCCCCCAAACAACAATTATGAACTTAATTTATTGATCACACTGTTTTTCTCTCAATACTCCAGGACTCATTCAGATCTAAACGTGTGCTCTTTTCAATTATTTTAAAGAGGATAAAGATATAATTCTTACAGTAGAGGATTTTGATTTTACTATGGCTGTTCAGAGGAATACACGGTTAAGAACCAAAAGATCTTCTACCAGAAATGCAGGCATAGACATTGAGAGTTGCATTTCTAGTCCAGTTTCACTCCCTGGATTAGGAAACGGTGACGGAGATTGTAAATCTTCTCTAGAAAGTAACTTGGAACTTCGATCTGATAATAGAGAACCAGAAATTCCTGGTACCTGTTTGCAGGATGTGCCTAATACCGGAGATACTTCTAAGGACTGTTTTTTCAAAAATGATAGAAATAGTACTATTCGAAGGAAGATTCAAATTAGAAAATCTAAAAAATCTTCTGAAATAAGTAATGTCACTGGTGGCCAAAACAAAAGACAGAGTCTATCAGCATGTAAAAAACAGGTGCAAAGCAATAAACGTGCCATATGTAAGAACAAAATATGTGTACTTAATAGTGATTCCAGTGAAAACAAAGTATGCCGAAGAAGTTCAAGGAAAAGAAAAATATGTTTTAAGGATGAACTGTTGTCTCAACCAAAAACAGAGCAGAATGATAAACAGATTGAACCTTTCCAAACAAGCATGGAAATAGTACATGTAAAATGTACTGAGAGTTCTTGCAGCAAAATCCCTACAGCTGCTAATAAAAACCTTTCAGTAGTAGAAATGCAAAGAAACGTGTTGACTTCAGAGAGTGCAAGTGAACAGAGGGCTTCCACTATGGATGTTACTGTTTCCCAGATGTGCCGAGAGAAACCTTGTACATCAATCAAAGGTATGTGTTTATGTATTTATTTATTTTCCAGAATGTTTAGATTACCTACCCTGTAAAACGGGTGTCAAACTGAAGGCCCAGGGGCCAGATCCAGCCCATGGTGTGCTTAGATCTGACTCACAGGACTCCACTGGAGAGAGCAAAAGACCGGCCTGCAGTGCCTCTATCAGTGAAAACGGAGCTCGGGAGGACCGCCTGCGGCCCTCCTGAGCTCCATTTTCACTGGCAGAGGGCTGCAGGAGGCTGTCGCAGCCAAAAATGAACTCAGAAGCCCATTTTCACTGGCAGAGCACTTGGGTCACCACAGGTGACCGCGACACAAGGGATGTTGAGCTGGCCATGCCCACTCTCTCCCCCCCCCCCCCCCGAGGTCAAATACATCCCTGATGCGACTCTCAATGAAGTCGAGTTTGACACTTCTGCTCTAAGAGGATTGATTTTACAAATTTTGAAAAAGCCAGTAAAGGTACTGCTTGGGGAAAAAGCAGAAGTTGTTCCAAAGGATGGAGAGTTCAGAAAAGGGTTAAATTTAGGTTCATGTCCCTTTGATTCCTAGCGAGGATGGGACCCTAAACAATCACTCATCCTTCAGAACATATGGACCGTGGAGATTCCACCTTAGGAGATGATCTGTAAGGTAATCTAAGAACCAACCATGTGGAGTTTTATTAGTATTTTATAGGTATTTGGTATTTATTCGATTTGTAGGCCGCCCTATTCCCCGAAGGGACTCAGGGCGGCTGAACAAAAGCCAAGGGAAGGGGAACAAGTACAGAAAAGTAAGACAAATGAGACAGTAATACAACAATTTAAAAAACACAACAAGCACAACAGTTTGAGTAGGGGGGGGGGACTCAACCCCAGGCTTGCTGGGACAGCCAGATCTTAACGGCTGTCCGGAAGGCCTGAAGGGTGGCGAGGGTTCGAATCTCCACGGGGAGCTCATTCCAAAGGCAGGTTCTTTTATAATAATACAATTATTGTAATGAAAGAAAAAGGATCTTGGTAGTTCTTGGCTTTAATACATGTAAGTCCTCCACTTACAACCAGTCACTTAGTTATAATGAACACAAAAAATATTTATCACCTGGATTTTGAAGCCACCCCCCACCCTCCCTGTAGTCACATGATCACATTTTAGGTGTTCGGCAACCACTCGTATTTAAAATACTTTTTGCCAGAAACAACTGTTTACTTCCATTTTCTGGCAAAAAATGCCCATTCAGACACTGAGTTCACTTAATGGTGTTTGTTTAATAATGAAGGATATTTGCTTAATGACTGTCACAAAAAAAAATTGTAAAATCAAGTTAGTCATGTGATGACCAGCAGGACTTACAATTGTAACTGTGGACTCAATGACGGTTATATGTTAAGGACTATCTGTATCCCTTAGAGGTTGGGTATACTTGCATGGAATGAAGAAAAGGAAAACAATGTCACACACACACACACACAACTTCTTCCTGAAACCCAGATCTGGATAATCAAAGAGGCAATGCTAGTGCAGGTAGTCCTTAACTTACAACAGTTTTATTTAGTGACCGTTCAGAATTATAACAGCACTGAAAAAAGTAACATGACCGGTTTTCACACTTAAAACCTTTGCAGGATCCCCATGTTCAGGCCCTCAAAGTTTAGATGCTTGGCAATTAGTTCATATTTATGACTGTTGCTGTGTCCCAAGGTCATGCAATCACATTTTTGCAACCACCTGACAAGCAAAGTCAATGGAGAAGCCAGATTCACTTAACAGCCAGGTTACTAACTTATCAATTGCAGTGATTCATGTAACAACTGTAGCAAGCAAGGTCGTAAAATGGGGCAAACCTCATTTAACAAATGTCTCACTTAACAACAGAAAGTTTGGGCTCAATTGAGGTCATAAGTCGAAGACTATCTGTATTGCAGAAAGGGATTATTGTTCTGTGTGTATCTTCTGTCCTCAAAGAGCATAATTAAAAGTTTTACATTATTTATTGCTTTTGTATTTTTTATTTGCTTTTCTATAATTAGAGAGACGTACTCAAAGAACCCAAGTGGAAAGGCGGAAAACCAGTCCATATTTTTCTAGAAAATTAATCAAAGAAGGTAAAAAAAAATTATGTGGAAATGCTTTGTGGAAAATTAGCAATCTTATTTTTTTAAAAAAATAATTTTAATAGGATTTGTATAATAGCAAATTAAAATGTTTTTATACCTGCCTAATAAAATGTAAGCAGAGATGTCCTGAAATAAGTATAAAATAGTTGTCTTTATGAGTACCGGTAAATTAATATGGATAATATTTGGATGGATGACTTATAAACAACAGAATAATTTCAAATATATTACACTAACTATATCAATGGGCTTTGGTTTCCAATGAAGATACAATAAAGGGAATAAACTACTGTGTATTAAATCATCCCTTCTAAAGAGATTTGGTCAGTTACATTGATTGAATTCAGATGTAATGGAAAACCATTGTTTCCATTATGAGCAATCCACTGGCACATGGGCTTTTATTCATGAATAGTGAGAACAGAAGGTTTTATTTAGATTTTAAACAAACAATTATTCTCTACTATTAAAAAAATTGGGAACTGATTTAGGTAAAATTCTAGCTACTGAATTTGATTGAGGATTAGAACATAGCTTCTGACTGTTCTCATTAAAATAAACGTAACCATAGTTCTTAATAATTTCAGCCTTTACAAGAGAAAAAGGAAGTTATAACACTGTTGGCGTATTTTGCTTCATGTATTGCCGGTCTAACAGAAGCATCTAACACCGTCCGAAGGAAGCAGATTTTTGATGCAACCGATCTCTGTTTAGAACCTGAAAAAGCAACCCAGACTGTCTTTGTATCTGTAGGAGTAATTGTAGACAATAAAAGTAAATTATGGTCACTTTTTTTGTATTAGCTCCAAGTCCACCAAGAAGGAAAGCTTTTAGGAAATGGACTCCACCTCGTTCTCCTTTTAATCTGGTTCAGGAAACATTGTTTCACGATCCATGGAAACTTCTGATTGCAACTATATTTCTGAACAAAACCTCAGGTAAATAAGAGAGCAGTCGTGGCCACTTCTCGAATTTCCATGCATGGAATTGCTTTCCTCTGGGGCTGTTAGGACATGTGCAATTCATTTTGCAAACAAGGTAAAGCATAAAGTTCCCAGGCTATAAAGTGCTATGTAAGTGGCTCTATCCAAATTGTGATTTGATGTATCGCTAGTGAATATGGATTTTCTCCTTAAGAAAAAGGCTGTCATCCGGCTGATAAGGAAAACCAGAAAGAGGACAGTATTGAATTTAAATTATGCAAAGTGAATTAATGCTACCCGCATTTCCCTGAAAATAAGACAGGGTCTTATTTTCTCTCTCCCCCCCCCCCCCCCCGAAATAAGCACTTGGCCTTATTTTCAGGAAGGTCTTATTATTTTTGAGGTGCAGGAGGCGGCAAGCATGGTCACCTCATGGTTGCTGCTGTGTTGCAATATTTTCGGGGGGCAGCTTATTTGGGTGGGAGGGCTTATTTTAGTGCATGTGCTCAAAAGCCCGATTGGGCTTATTATTGGGAGGTCTTATTTTCAGAGAAATAGAGTACTAAAATGGTAGCGATTCAGTAGTGACATTTGCTCAATGTATTATGTAAGTTTGGTTGGATCATATGCATATATAGATTAAAAATCAGCTGAAGAAGTTATGACCATACTGACAATATAAACTATAGGGCTGCTTCACACCACACAGATTTTCTGTCAGTGAAATTACTTACATGTAGGAAATTGTGAATCCTGTATGTAAGTTGTAAGATATCAGTAAAGCGAAAAACTGTCAACAGGTTTGTGCCAAGTTACTTTTGTGCAGAAAAATCTGTCTTGAGAAGTTGCAGCCAGTTTTTCAAATTCAGCGCACATGTTGTTGTTGTTCACAGTTTCTTATTTTTGCTTAGGAAAGATGGCTATCCCTGTGCTGTGGGAATTTTTTAAGAAATATCCTTCACCAAATGTAGCAAGAACTACCAACTGGAAAGAAATGTCAGAATTGCTTAAACCTCTTGGCCTATATGAACTCAGAGCAAAGACCATCGTCAAATTTTCAGGTAATATCTATAATATTCCATGTTTTATGTATATTATCTCATAAAACCTTGATACAGTTATATAGCAGTATTTGTATTTCTTATTTTGGTTGGAAGACAAAAACTGAGGAATGATAGTTTGCCAAAGACCTCTTAATACATTCATGATTGAGACATGAAGTGGAAATTTGTTCCATATATTTAAAGTCATTGCCATTTCGAACTTGTAAATTATAATCCAAAATAACACATATACACAATTTCTATAATCTCTATTCATGAACTTTTTCATGTTTTTTTTTGTTTATGAATTGATACTTTTAAAAAAACAATTTTTTTTGCCATTCTTAAAACCATTTGGAAAATTTGGCATTGGAATATTATAGTAATACGTCCTTTTTGGATTTACTGATAAATTATTTGAATATAGAAGTGAAGTGCCATTTGTGTTATTTATGAGTATTCTATTTTTGTTTAGCTACTGATAGTAAAACAAGCTCCTAACTTTAATTTATCAAGGTTTTGATTTCTTGTAGTTTGCATTTTATAAATGAGCAATTACTCTTAAAGTCTTATGTTATTTTTCATAAACTTAAAACCAATATAATTTAGTCCAGCTTTTTATAACTTTATCTTTTGATCCTTAGATGAATATTTGGTTAAGCAGTGGAAATATCCAATTGAATTACATGGGATTGGAAAATATGGAAATGATTCTTACAGAATTTTCTGTGTGAATGAATGGAAAGAGGTAATAAATGCTTGTGTGTTCTTAATTTAATGAAAATCAGGGGAAGCCTTATTAATTTCAGCAATACTAATATAATATACTAATATAATTAATATACTAATATTAATTACAGCAATCTGTAACCTAGAAATAATACAAGAGTTATACTTACAGCTACATACATATGATTTAGAACTGCAGAAAATAATAGAATATTATGTTCTCCTAGATAGAATTTTTTAAACTAAGACTTGAATATTCTTTTTGCATTTTGTCCTTAATGTGTTTTAAAAAACAACAATCATTAACTCTGCAAAGTATTTTTAATATCCACCTGGGTTGTCTTACAAGCTAAGAAATAAAACAGGACCATACTTTTTTTCATATTTATCTGAGAGGTCTTACGCTAATAATCACTTTCGCTATATGATGAGAGAGGAAATTTTTATACTTCAGCAAATAAATATGAAATTACAATAAAAGTGCAAAATGGCTTATGGATTGACATTATATCACTTATGTACCGATGAGGTAAAAACATGTTCATTTCTCTTTCAGGTACAGCCACAAGACCACAAATTGAACATTTATCATTCCTGGCTGTCGGAAAACCATGAGAAATTAAATCTTAATTATTAGCTCTTTATAATCTCTTGGTCCTTTCTCATGTTTTAAACTGCTTTTTCTGCTACCCCACTTTATTAACTATAAATATAAATGCTTCTTTTATATGACTGTAAATAATTTATTAAATTCCATTATTCTATATAATTTTGCTCAAAATTGACATTTCTTACTTTCACTTGTTTGATCATGTAAATTTTAAATACCAAAGTTTGTTTAGTGTAATGCATCAGAATACAATAATTCAGGACTCTTTACAATTTAGCAAGCATTCTAGAGATTCCACTTCAGGTTACCTAACTACCCCTCTGAAAGAGGCACTTCTACTGATTCCTGGTTGCTGTTTCTCATTCAGATTGGATCAGGAAGATGGTGATAAAATCAATGAAAATCAAGAAACCAATGAGAAAGTGTGAATCTACTATTGTGATAACTCCCATCCAAATCTGTTATTCTTTATATAGGACTGTATCTCATGGGCCTTCTGACAGCAAATCATGTTAAAGATAGGAAGCATACTGATGAATTTAAAACAGGGTTTTTAATTAGTTAGAATATATGGCTTGTGAAAGAAAGCATCACAATTCAATACTGTATCTTTCTGAAGAGGTGGAAGGACTGATAAAATGCCAAATTAGCTTTGTCATTTTAATCTCCTACTTGGTATCAAATCAAGTATTTTTTTCATATTTGCTACCATTTTGAACGGCAAAGAAATTTAAATCTCTAACCTCATGCTGTATCTGATTTTTTTAGATGTGATTTATCATTTCAGCGGTTTAGTGTAATGGTTTGGCAGTAACTAGGAAAAGGCTTACTTAGTTCATGATAAATCTTGATCCAGTCGCTAGTTCACACACAATGGGTCAAAATATACATTATTGGCTTGCAAACCATGATTTAAGACAGCATGGAAAGCTATTCTCTCTCAAGATCCAGCTGCGTATGTCATGAATGGAGGGGGTCGTCAACGCGTGACGCCAGCTAGGATTTACTCTCTGTTCCTGTTGTGCTGTTATTAATTCCCCGTCCCAGCCCTTAGAAAAGAGGGATGGAAGGGGCAGGAGCGCCGAGGCGGGAAAGGCTGGCACGAAATTGACACGGGCGTCCTCGCGGCTTTGCAACACAACGTTCGATCTTCTCCCGCTGCGCCAATCAACTGCAAGCCAAGCCCGCCCGCCCGCCCGTTGCCTTGGTGCCCGCCAAAACTCATTTTTGCCTTATGCCCTAATTGTGGTGCGTTAAGGGAGGGGAGGGGGCACCGTTGTCAGGTCATTTTGCCTCGCAGCTGAGAGAGAAAGCTTGGCGAAGGGAACGAGGATTCTTTCTCCCTGCTTTTTTCCACCTCGACTCCAGAATCGTAGAGAACGGCGGGCTTTTCCTGTCTTCTGCACAGCCCAGTAAAACGGCGGAGTTTTTTGTTTGTTTCCCCCCCAGGGTCTGAAGAGCCGACGGTGAAGTTTCTGCTTTAGCACGTCGCAGTGTCGGGCAAAATGGACCAGTTTAGCTGGATTTTTCGAGATAACCGGAGTGATGTTTCAGGGACCAGTTACATATCGCAATCTTTTTACGACTCCATTTCTACATTGCTCGGGTTGGTAGAATGTAGCAAGAGGGCTCCCGATTTATAAAGCTCTCTCTTTGTAGAAAAATAGGCAACGGGGAGATTTTTCTATTTGTTTTCTCAGGGGTTAATCAGTAGGGTTGTGCGATGTGATTGCAGAAATCGGAACGGTCGCTGACTTTTATTTGTATTTGTATTTATTAGTTTGTCAAACATGTACAAGATAGCAGATGTAAATATAAACATGGACATAAACGAAAGAAATGAATACAAATAAATGAGGACAGTAGGATAGGGACCGTAGGCACCCTGGTGTGCTTATGCACGTCCCCTTTACAGACCTCTTAGGAATGGGGTGAGGTTTACGGTAGACAGTTTAAGGTTGAAGCTGTGGGGGTTTGAGGATGTAACAATGGAGTCAGGTTGAGCATTCCAGGCATTGACCACTCTGTTGCTGAAGTTGTATTTTCTGCACTTGAAAACGTTTTGCTTCTCATCCAAGTTCTGAAGAAGTTTCTGGGATGAGAAACGAAATGTTTTCAAGGAGAAAACCAAGAAATTCCAATTGCCTTTTGGAAAAGCCCCTTTGGGACAATGCTCTGCCTCTATTTCTTTAGCATTAAATGATAGAATGAATAGATTTAAGAGCCAGGGAATTTCTTTAGGGAACCAGTTTGGTCTAGTGGTTAGGGCATTAGGCTAGAAAGTTGAGACAGTGAGTTCTAGTCCTGCCTTAACCATGATACCCAGCTGGGTAACTTTGGGCCAGTCACTCTCAGCCCAGCCTGACCCACAAAGTGGTGGTTGTGGGGAAAATAGGAGGGGGAACATGTGTTTTAGATATGTTTAGCCACCTTGAGTTATTTGTAGAAAATAATAAAAGTGGGGTACAAATAAAGCCACCTTTCTCTTATCTACTAGTACTTTTTTACACAGTGGTGTCCCCAACCAGATGCCCTCCATATGTGGGAGATTGTAATTTTCAGGTCCTGCCAATCAAGATTGGAAGCATTCTGTTAGCCACAGTTCATGTGCTTGGACCCATCAAGCTCAATGCAAGAGCAGGAACTTTCAGAGAATTCTGTCCCAGCCCTGCCTGGAGAGACACTTTGGATTCTACTTGGACAATTTTTAATGTAATTTTGTTGACACACTTAAGCTTTGTCTTTCTCATCTGAAGTTTGGGAAGAATATGCAGAAAATCACTTTTGCATTGTTGCCTCACTTTCCCCTAAAAAATGAAAGCACATAGATAGATTTTATCCCATCTCTATAATTTCTGAAAATATACAATTCCAAAAATATCTATTGAAATCTTAGGTTATTTTTTTTTAATTTCTGTCCCCAAGAAAATAATATTTACAGAAATTAATATTGCCAGATGTACCATTAGGTATTTTAGTTTTGTTGTAGTTTATTTTTCTTAAAGGTTGGATGGGTGGTATTAATGATTTTGACTCTACCCAAATTCCTTCTTTTCAGTGAAAGTGATAGTGAGTCCACCTTAATTGAAGAACCGCCTAAAGAATCGACCTCAGATAAGATTTTCAGCCATTGCTTTAAAGCATATAAACTCAGAAATGAACATCCTTATTATTCCCTTAAATTGAGACCAAATAGATTTGGGCCGCCTAAATCAAGACGGCGTATTATTATTGCACCACCCATGGACAGTGTGGCTCCTAGTATTCACAAACCTCGGCCACCTGTCCCCAGTGAAGTGGAGAAAGTTCAGGAGTTCAGAGCACCTCCGGAACCTCAGGTCAGCACCTTCATTGAGGAGAGTGACCTGATAAGTATGGAAGCTTGGATTAAGGAGAGAAAACAACTGCATAAACTGTTGGAGAACTGCGTAAATCTGGAGGAATGGTTAATTCGAAAGAAGCCTCTCACTCAACAAGAAGAAAACACCCTGAGGAAATTAAAAGAAGAAAAGCAAGAGAAGGAGGCTAAAATTCAAGCTGAGTTGCTGGCATTCCAACGTTGTAAGGTAAGCCGCAGTAGGAAGTCAGCATGGTGTCATGGTGCTGAACGATGACTTGATCGTCCAGGTGTTTCCGAACTGCATTTGCTAAACTAACCCACCCAGCAGGAAGAATGGTGTAAGTTGTTCCTCAACCACATCTGGAAGGCTCCACTTGTGGATTAGAGTTTGGGACTATAATGGGGGAGTGTAATTTAAAAGTTCTTGTTATCCATGATGTTCATGACTAGCCAGCTGTACAACCAGTCTCCTTTCTCAGTCCAGCCTATGTCTGAGAGTTGTATTGAGGGCAAGGCAAGAAGAATATGGAGTGTGTCTCATATTTTTAGAGGAAGGGCAGCATAAAAAAATCTAATAGATAATTGCAATGTCCGAGGAACTCAGTCAAAATTATACCTCACGTTTCAGACAGGCTTCATACCAAGCCTACCAATAAATCTTTAGCACTATGGGCACTAATTTTTGTATTAAGGAACTTGCTTACAGCAGTAGGTGCAAAAGCATGGCTATATGAATTATTGGAGAGAAGAAAGAAGTCATGTATGCAGAGAATATCTGCCTATTGCAGAATCCAGAGATAAAGCCCTGGCCATCTATGCCTTTTCCAGATTTAAAGCCTTTTCCTTCTATTTTTTTATGAGTCAGAAGACTTTGGAACATTTCATCCCTAGTCTTGAATGAGAATATAATATATTTGTATAGACTTGGTGTTTATATACAGGTAGTCCTTGAGTTAATGATTGTAAAGGAGCCCAAACTTTCTAAATCAGGACAATCATAAGTCGAAGTACCCACATGACCAACCTGATTTTGTAGACTTTTTTTTTCAGTGATTGTAAAATGAATGCCACAGGATTAAAATGAGTCTATTCGTTCTTTTTTGCCTTTTCTTTTGCCAGAAACCAGCAAAAAAAAAAAAAGTAAATTGTTGTTATGTGACTGAGAAACACTGCAAACACTTGGTTGTTGCCAAGTGCCCAAAATGCAGTCATGGAACTGTGGGGAGAGGGGGTGCTGCATCAAAACTCTGGAACTTGGTAGTATGTACCATTTGGGGAGGGAGGGCATCATAATTTTAAATGATTGCTAAGCAAACATCATTAAGCAAGGACTACCATATTGTAGTATATTGGAGCCTGTCTTGTTTCTGATTTCCTTTGTAGCAAAAACAAATACAATGATAACATTAGCTCTTACTCTATTATTACCAAAGCCCTTGGATTAATAAATTTGACCGGTAAATGCAATCAGTAAAGTCACAAAATGAGATAAAAATAGGACATATGTCAGACCACTTGTCTGTTTGTTTTTTGCCTTCCGTAATATGTCCACCAATCTGCTTGTGTTTTGCAATACAGCTGATGATTGCTTGACTGACTGAAAAACTGCCGTATTTTTCGGAGTATATAACTCACCAAGATTTTGAAGAGGCAAATAAAAAAAAAGTTTTTGCACTCTGCAGCCCTCCCAAAAATGCAGTTTTTCTCAAAAAGGAGTCTTTTTTTTTAAGGCATGAATAGCCTTTAGGATGTTTGTAAAGTACTTCGGGGGGGGGGGGGGGTGTTCCACCACAAAACCGCATTCGACTAAACCGCATAGCTGACGTCATCAACAGTGCGACAACAGCGCGGAGACAGAAGCATGCTGTAAACCCTAAACCTAAAATTAACCCCTAAACCTAACCCCCCTAAACCTAATCCTAAACCTAACCCTTAACCCTAAACCTAACCCTAAGACTTAACCTAACCCTAAACCTAACCCTTAACCTAACCCTAAACCTAATCCTAACCCTAAACCTAACCCTAAGACTTAACCTAACCCTAAACCTAACCCTTAACCTAACCCTAAACCTAATCCTAACCCTAAACCTAACCCTAAGTCTTAACCTAAC